TTTTATCCTGACACACTGAGGTTTTTTTGTTTCTTTCCTAGCATGCATAGTCTGTTAGCTGTGTGCTCCAGTTTCTAGCTTTCTTTATAAATTATACATTTATATGGCTCCAGCTTTGCAGTACGTTTTTTTATTTTGCCTGCTGTTCTGCATCTTAATGAGCACCCCGGGGGGGTGGAGATGCAGGTGGCTTTGCTTCAGACAGACAAGGGAATGCTGAACACTTCTGACACAGAGAACCCTATTGCCTCTCTTGTTTCCTTTCCCTAGTTTAGATATTGATGTGGAGAAGAGACTAGGCAGGATGGAAAAGCTGTGAAATGCAATTTTTAAGCAGTATTGTCTGACAGAAGCACTTAATAGCTGGTTTAGTGCTGGTCGTAGGTGCTGTTAAAGTTAAGATTCTACCAGTTTTGGATTTCATACATTTGCACTGCCCCTTGCGGATATGAAAGCAAGTGTGAATGTGCTGCTTGATCAGTTTTACTTTGTTGCTGTCAAATCAACAGCCGTAGGCCAGACCAAGAAGGGCAAACAAGTGGTTTGTTCTACACTGAAAACTCCACACATCCTATCTAGGTGCCATAGATATTGAACCTCTTTCTGCTTTGAAGCCTTTTGAATTTTTTAAATTTAAAACATAGCTTGCATCTTGCGTGAAAACATAGATATTGAACCTCTTTCTGCTTTGAAGCCTCTTGAATTTTTTAAATTTAAAACATTGTTTTCACGCAAGATGCAAGCTATCATGAATATATAGAATTGGAAAAACACCCTTTAAAATGCGGTGATATGTCTGTGCTTGATGTATCACAAAAATAGCCTATTTAATGCAAAAATGCAGTACATTTTTAAGGTTCCATATGTAAAAATTGGCATTTCTTTAACTTTATAGGGTTCCAAAACTCCACAAAGTTCTAAGATACGAGAATAGAAAATACTACATAGTCTGCCACTGCATGTTTAATTCCTTGTTATTTTAATGGTAAAAATGTAGCCCAATTTTAAAATTCAGTTTCCTTGTCTGTGTTCTTTTGAAAAAGCAGCAAAAGAAAAAGAACCTGCAATGGTTTAGCTCACATCGTTTGCAAGTTCTAAAGATTACAGGTAGAAACCTGCCTAACTAGTGGTTAACTGTGGACAGGGGGCTGCTCCAGCCCTGTGGAGCCTCCTGTGGGTGGGGGGACATGACAGATGTTCCAGCCCATCCGGAGCAGCACCCATTTGAGTGAGCCCAGTCTAGGCACGCTGTGGGCAAGGGCGTTCTAGCCCAGCCAGTGCAGCACCCATCTGTGGCAAGCCTGGCCTGGCACGCCCCAGCAGAGGCACTCTAGTCCGCCAGGAACTGGTCCAGCCCTGGGTCTGCTCCCCATTTCATCGGTTAACTGATTACACTTCACTAACGAAATGGGATTTTATATCCCAATGCCTAACACTTTCAAAGGGATGCATCAGGCAGCTTGAATTCATTACTTTGCTATACGCTAAAAATCATGGACCAAACAAGGCTTTGTCTGCACTTTCAATTGATCAACAGAAGTTTTTATTGTTCACGAGAGCTTAACTCCTCCCCTCCCCAACAACAAACATTTTGGCCTGCTGACAAAACGAAAGCCACTTCTGGGGGCTAGAAGTTTTTGTTGGCAAAGTGCCAACAAACCGCATTCCCAGGCACTGGCTTTTAGCGGCAGGACTGTGTAGTGTAGTCCTATCCAGAGACATTGGATTTATGGCTTGTTACAAACACCTGTAACCAGCTGAGTGCTTGTTTTGTCCTATGACTGCGGAAGTGTTAACAGGCCATTCTACCTTGAACAATCCCTTAGTATATATTCTAACTACTCCTGCTAAAAAGTCTGTCCCACCTTGCATGTAGCTGTTGCCCATGGAGTATCTTTTTCAGGCCTGAAGGAGGAGTCTATGGGCTCGAACACTTGTTTTTGTTTTATCAAGAGGTGTTAGCCCAATAAAAGATATAGCATCACCCACATGGCCTCTCTAGGACCATTAGTCATAGGTAGCTGAATAAGGGTTAATATTAGAAAAGTTGAGTTAAGATTCTCAGATTTTTTTGAGAACCTGCCAGATGAGGTGGAAATTTAAAGATGAGCAATAAAAGAATTAAAAAAAATTAAATCCCAGATTGGTGGGGTGCAGCCACAGAAGACCCCCTTGGGATTGTTCCTTGGTGTGCTGATTGTGCCACTGATGCCTGCCTGCCTTGCTGTAGGGGGCCCCCCGCCATACAAAGTGCAGGATTTAAGTACAAAGAGTACGATTTTAGTGGTTGCAAGTGTAAACAGACAGATCAAAGTAAGTTGCCAAATTAAAATGAATGGAAAATGCATAATTAGTTCTAATTCACTAAGAAACGTGTTTGTCAGCCGACGGTCAGGGCTGAGTGAGTGAGTGTGTGTGTATGTTACCGGGAAAAGGTTTAACGTCTGTGACTTTACCGCTAGGACCGGGGTCCTGTCGTGGAGGGCAGCCAACAGGCTGACTGACGCCCCAGAGTTTATAGGAAGAGCTTATTACATCTCAGATTTCAACTGCTAGGATACAGGATCCCTGCGCAGTGGGCAGTCTAGGGAAGACTGAGAGATGCCCCAACGGATCTGTCACCTGGGAGTGACACGATCCAAAATGCCCAAGCTCTTCCTATACCTGTCCCTTATGACTGGCTGAAGTTCTTTTAAATTGTGCTTGGTTCTGTTACAGCAACTGAAGGAGTCAGGTTAAAACTTAAACAGTTACAGGTTTATTAAAGAAGCTTATAAATCATATGGTTACAAAGGCTATTGCTCTCTTTCTTAACTGCTAGCAAATATAGATCTTAAAAAAAGGGTTACAAAGGAAAAATAAAGATAGAAAATAGAAATAACGGTACCAAGTGACAGCTTAATCTTTAAAGAGCTCTAAGTCTATGTGTACACTTAAAACAAAGGACCACATCCAGGTACAATTTTTACCCCCTTCTGTGCCTCTCGATTCCAGCGGGTCAAGCCAGGGCCGGTCCCTCAATTCCTAGGAAAGACTAATACGAGGTGGGCATCCCCATGGAACCTCGGGAGGTCAAACACCTAACCCGACCAGCAGATAGATGGTAGATTGACACTCAGAGTAAATGTGCTGCTGGACCCATCTTTATACCCTTAGGAGCCCGTATCCTCTTTCTTATCTAAGATGCCAAATTGTACTGGTCCGTTTTGTGGCGCCAGTTCTTACAAGCAAGTTTCAAGTTAATTTACACTTGCAAGAGAGAGAACTAAATTGTGGGTACTAGACATTTTTTTTTACTGGGCGGACGGCTGTGTGTTCGTATCAATATGGGATTCAGTCAAGGGCATTCCTCAGCAGCCTCTTGGTCAGCAATTGGCATATCTCTGTTTACAGCCATTCACGGTCACTGCAGCCTGCCATATCCGGGGCCTTCTGTTCCAAGGCTTTTACTGCTCTGTGTGCCCTGCATGCTCCAGGCAAGCAAAGATGGATGTTACAGGGGGGTTCCTGTCTGGCTACAGTGTTGCATTCAAATTCTTACCCTATTCTTATTTCAGGCGTAAATCTTCAAGTCAGAGACAACTCTTGCTCTGACTTGGGTCTCCAGCCCTCTTTAAAGTTCTTTGTATTCTTTTAAGGTATGCCAGGTAGTTTCCCAGGCCTGCTGATGACAAAATGGGATTACTTCCCATGGCTTAAATAGTCTTTCCCCTAGGGCAGGAATCTTTTGTTTTCCCTTCCAGGGAAAAATACCAGGTTCAAAATGGATTTCGGTACGAGGTGGTATGCTCACATGTCTTTTTAGCATCAGCCACTCCTTGGGCTTATAGGGCAAACAAGGCTGTTTACAAGTCGTAGAGTTGATCACCAAGTCATTACGCTTCTGGAGCACCAGTAATGGCTCTAATTTGCGCATTTAAAACTGTAAACAAACTCAACTTCATAATCCTAACTTCACATCTAAGAATGATACATGCATCAAAGTAGGATGTACCAATCCAGCATATTGTAGCCTTAACATTAATCGGTTACATGAGGTATTTTGTCTAAAGCATCTTCAAATTATGTGTATTTATATTCAGAAGCCAATTTTCATAAAGCCTGGTGAGGGGAGGGAACCGTCACACAATTTCTGGAATATGTATTCTACAGTTCTGGTGACTTCCCCCATCGGTGCACATTCCAAAAGCTGGAAACAAACTCCTAACGCATGATAAAGAATGCAGTTCTACTATAGGTAATATCCTGAATTCTGCTCCTGAAAGGCTTAGTATTAAAAACCAACAATCACAAATTTTTCACTTGTAGGTTTCACCTTTTTAAAAAGGAACAGTGACCCCTCCAATGCACCCTCTTTTTAAACAGAGCACTTTAAGTGTACCTCAAAGCGCTGACATACATTAATGGCCTTAAACAAACAATTCCCCCTCCTCCCCCCGCCTTTTAGGCCACTGTTTTGTTTTCATTTCTCTACTGCCTGAGTGGTCACTTAAGGCCGAGTTTACTATATTCTGTTATTGATTTGGAAACTTGAATAGTGTGTTCACATTACTTTTTAATAAAGCATTTCAGTTAGACATTGACTAATCCAGGATGCTTGGCAGAAATCTATTGGCATCCGATCTGCATAATGTACAGCAGTATGGGCCCTGGAAATGAAAAAATCTGAGCAATGCAAGACCTAAGTGCAGCTTTATTAAATTTCTTCTGAGAACAAGAGTGAGCCTGCTGGATGTTTGTGAGAATTCAGTGAGATTGCAGATTAACAAAGTAAGAATAAATGCTGTTCTGCTGGAACAAACAGAGAACATTTATAGCTTTCTCACCTCCAATTTTTCTTCCTGCTCTTAACAGATTGCTTAAAATGTTGCTTCTTAAGGATAGATTAACTAAGCTGAACTTGAATTCTTTGAGAGTTGCCGGGCAGCAATTAGAATAACAGCATTGGTAATAAGTGGGGAATTTTTGCACTAAGCAATATCATTTTCTCTTGTTTCTAGATGAAGACTGTTAGCGTTGCCTTAGTTTTGTGCCTAAACGTAGGTGTTGACCCTCCTGATGTAGTGAAGACAACTCCCTGTGCGCGTCTGGAGTGCTGGATAGGTAAGCCTATTGAATATCTTTGGGAGCAGTGTGGAAATGTTGCTTTGTCTCCTTGTCTACACTTATGTCGATCCCCGAAAGTTGACAAAATAAAAATCGCCAGACGGTGTTCATGCTTGCTCCCGCCATTGACAGATCATGTCCACACTGGGAGTACCATCATTGAATGTGAGAGCCAATGCACTGAGAGCACGTATCCCACATGCAGTGCTGTGGGAAGGCGGAGCTGATTGCTGCACATATTGGGATTCTCCCGCAGCCTCTCAGTTGCCGGGAGCAGCAGCATGAGTAGCTGTGTGAGCTCTCCTTGCTGCTGGATGTCAAAGCAGCACAGCTGTCTGTCTCCCTGAGCATGAGTAGCTGTGTGAGCTCTCCTTGCTGCTGGATGTCAAAGCAGCACAGCTGTCTGTCCCCCTGCCTCTGCAGCAGCTGTCTGCCTTCTACTGTGTTCCTAGTGCAGGGCAGAACAGGAGCATTCCAATGATTTGCTCTTTGCTCCCCAAATGGAGCAGCGCTCTCAGAGTATGCCTACACTATGGTTTTAAAATCCTGGTTAACCAGTTAACTGGTTAAATGTCAGGTTACCCCAGTGTTTAACCAGTTAACCGACTAAGCAGGATATCACCACTCCAGTCCCCCAGCCCATGGGACTCCTGCATCCAGCTGCTGCAATGGGGCTGGCTGCTGGTTCCCAGCCTCTGTGCTGGCA